GATTTATATGTGATTAATACCTAATTGCATGATGAATTCCCATGAGGAACTATGATGATTTGTGATGGTAATTCCATGAGTTTTGATGCTTCTATGATGACGTGATTCTTATGATTATTTTGATGAATGATGATACACCTAATGATATTATTATGAGAGTGATATTGATGTGTGCATCATGCATTCATGTGCATCCGGACTTCGGTTCAGGACCTTGATTTCTTTGGCTTCAGTCCCATTGTGCGGATGTGAGGTATTTTGATGTGCTCCAGTTCTTGTATAGAATCGATCCTATTGACGGGGATCTATAGAGGGTTGATGGCCCAGTGTCCATCGAGTTGTGATGATTGGTACCACATGCATGAGTCTTGTTGCATTTGCACTTATGTGACAATTTAGTGTAATTTATAATGTTGTGACCTTTGATGTTCCTTGATGATTATGATGATGTTCAATATGAAAATGACGCTGTTTTATATATTGATTCCTATATTGATTATTATGAATTGTTTTACTCACTCTACCTGTTTGAATGTTGCCTCCACGTGGGTAACGTGCAGATGACCAAGTTTAGTTGTGGATGCCGTCGAGGACTTTTAAAGTTTTTGGGTCATTGGCCATTGTGGTTGACTTAGAGAGTCTTGCTCTGATAGTGTAATATCAGGTTGGGGTCCTTGAGTCAAACTATTTAATTGATTTTTGTTATGTTGGTTTCCTTGCGGTAAAAGGAAAACTTTTGATTTTTGCCTTTTTGTGTTCCACTGCCATTTGAGCATTTTTGAGTAATTTTGAGAAAACTCGTTGCTTACGGAGCATTGACCTTGATTTGAATTTATTGAAAAATGTACGCCATTTGAGGTGATTTTTATGGTGTTTAAAATTTTACTCTGATAAATTCTATTATTTTGCCATAATATTTGTGGATTTGAAAAGGGTGTTACAGCTACTACCACGTGGTCGAACTTTAGAGCCAACAACCTCAAGATCTTTGCAACAACTGATCTTAATGTCAACGCTTCTCCACATACCTTGATTTGATTCACCAGCTTTGTAATTCTAGTGAAGAAATCTGTTATACTTTCACTTTCTTCCATCTGAAGCAATTCATAGGTTCTCTTGTGAGTTTGTAACCTCACATCTTTCACCTTTTCTGCGCCTCCAAACGAATTTCCAAGAATCTCTCACGCTTCCTTTGCTGACTCTACATCACTAACCTTTTCAAAATTATCTGGATCTACACATTGATGGATTATAAAGAGCGCTTTATAATCTTTCTTCTTCAATTCTTTGAATGTAACCTTTTTCTTGATCCGTCGCGTTTTCTGCAAGTGGTGCTACCACTCCCTTCACAAGATGCCAAAGATCTTGATAACAGAAAACCACCTTAATTTGCTTGCACCAATTCTCATAATTATCTTTCTTGAGAATTGGGAGGTTTTGCGGAAAGTGACCATTTGGACGATTCATCGCCATCACGATTTTCCTTCCTTGAATCGTAACCGGAGCTCTAGATACCAGATGTTGGAAATTCAACCACAATCTTTGGAGAATTCCGCTAAATCAATCTTGATCTCAAGATTGTTTCAACTCACGTAATGACAATAAAAGAAAAATTTAGAAAGAAAGAAAGAAAGTAAACGTTGGAGAAGAAGAAGATGAACAATTTTCTGCAGAGAACTCTCTGCCCACAAACTATGGAAATTATGTTATTCCACTTGCAACCGCAAACTGTGAATTACAAAATAGGATGAGATAAGGGTTTCTCCCTATTTATAGATTTAGGTTAGCTTGCACCCCAAATCAAAGCCCAAACTATAAAAGCCCAAAAATATCTAATATAATCTTCCTAAATTAAATTTGATCTTTCTAAGTCAAATCTAATCTTTCTAAAATAATGAATTACATATTTAACAATGTTAAGTTTCACTTATCAAGTAAGCGATATGCTTGAACCTTAACATTTATCTTTAAGGTCAAAATTTTCAAGATAATAAAAATGAATGAAGATATTACACTCAAAGCATCCTTGACACTGTAAAACTAAACTGATTGTGTTGGATTTGAAGATTGTCCCTGAGATATTCCACACAAAAGGAACCATGAAATTGTAAAAATGAACATCACATTTCACCACACGATTGAAAAACATGATTGTGTTGAAAAATTGTTAAATTTTAATATAAATATAAAAATTAAAGGGACACACCTTTTTTGTAATGATAAAATATAAAAGTGTTGGTGTTAGGATTCGAAGTGTGTTACTCAATAACTTATTACCACGGTTGCTAAGATAAACCATGGTAAAAATATTTTAATTACAAAAAATAAAGGCACCTAAAGATAAATTATTGTTTTTGTAGAATAAATGACCGAAGGAAGATGACGTTACAAAATGTATATTTTGTAGTAAAGTGTAACTAATTTAAAAAAATTGAAGATTTTTTCGTCTTGTAATTTATCTTAAAGAATAATGTTTACGATTTTGGAGTAGTGGTAGATTAGTTAGCTTAAGAAAAAAAACTTAATAAACAAACATTTTTATAAACAATTTTAAATTTCAAACCCCTCGATTATTAGTGTAAATGAAGGAATAAATCATTTCATTTTTAAATCAAAAAAAGTGCTATTATTAAAGAAATAAAAATATAAATTACAATTGTTGCGATTTGAAACATATCCTCTAAATTAATTTTTCCCACAGTCATTTATCCCAACTTAAAAAATAAATGATATTTTAAAAAATAAAATAAAATGTGATGCGTCTAGAAATTATACATCGATTATTTATTAGTTGAAATAATAAATTTATTATAAAATATATTATTTATAATAGTGAACCATAATAAAAAAATGTTTTTTTTTATAAATAATATATATAAGAGAATGATAATAAGTATGTGATAAAATGAACTAAGTATGTGATAAAAAATAGAGTTTAAATTTAATATAATAGTGATAATCTGGTGTGTTGAACTTATATATATATTTTTAATTAGTTAGATAGTTATGATAATGTACTGAATTTGGTATTTATCAATTTCCAGCATGATTCCAACTCTGTTTAATTGGTGGGGGTGGGGTACCTATTGTACTTTTTATTCACATACCACTTTTTTCTTTCTTTCTCTAAATCAGTAATAAAAATTTGGAATGTCCCTTCTTCAAATTTATAATACACCCACCATATAGATCTTATCATTTTTCTCTTTTTGGTTGTTTTCTTTTATTAGTAAGCCAATTATAATTAGGTAGGTCCTCTATATGAGAAATTAAAGGTGTCAAAAAATGTTGGTCATAAATGATTTGTTCCATATATAAATTTAAGGCCAATTTGTTAATACTGTCTCCATAGAACCAATGCATGTGATTGTTATGGAAACTAAGATATATAGGGCCATCAATTATTTATGTTTTGGACCCATAAATATATTTCCATAATATTTTATGTAATTGTTAGGGAGTACTACTTTTTTATTTATTGTATAAGTTTGATAAAATTGAATTTTTTACCTCTTAAAGTTGTTCTTAAATTCAATTTGATAAATTTGATATTGTAATTTATAAACTGAATTTACCTGAAGTAAAAAATTTAACCTAATTCTATTTGAGTCAGCCTTAATAAATTCTGCAACTGAATGGATTAGATCCAATCTCGTTTTTTCTAATTTTAAATTATTTTTAAAAACTCAACTCTTTCTTTTAAATAATTTTAATTTTAAATAAACTTAATCTTATAAAACTCGTTTTTTAATGATTTGGCAAAGTAATTTATGAAATTTTATACAAATTTATGTACATGAAACTTTATTATTTATAAATTTTTTTTTTTATAATAGGACGAGAATGGAAATCCGCTTTTTTAATTAACACACGTAAAAATTTAAATGATATTTTTTATTTAATATTAATTTTAAATAAAAATTATGTAAAAAGTTAATAGTATGATGTTAGATAAGAAGTTAGTATGAAATTAGATTGTAAATTAATAATAGAAAGTTATTTGAAAGATGATAATAGTGATTTTAGTGGTTTTAATGGAAGTTATTATGAGTTATACATTAAAAAAGTAAAATTGGTAAAAAAAAATAGACCACATCAAAACATCATGTTTTGCCTTTATATATGTTATAGATAATTAATACACATTAATAATAATTTTTTATCTAATATATCATATATTATTTATTATTTATTACTCTTTATTTTCTTATTCTTTAATTTCTTTTTTCTATATAATTAATGAAAAACAATTATTTTTATAAAATCACCCTCTTTTTATTTACTTTTTCCGTCTCTTATTCTTTGAGTTTTTCACTTTTTTTTTTCTTTTTAAATAATAATAAATTTGATTGATTTTCAATGATAAAATTAGTGTTATTTACTAAAATAATTTTATTAATAATAAATAATGATAAAATTAGTGTTATTTACTAAAATAACCTTATTAATAATAAATAATAGAGTAGTTATATGAATTAAAATATAATAAACACGGATAAATTAGTTAAAAGAAATAATAAATATCACATTAATAATATAAAAGGACAAATAATTTAAGACAAATAAAAATAAGAAAGAGAACCCTTATTGTGAGAAAGAATAAGTAAGAGAATATTCTTGTTAATTATAATTAATAGAATAACTCAATAAAATAAAAATTAATAAATAGAGATATAATAATAAAAAGTAATAATAAATATTACATCGATATGATAAAAGAATAGAAAAAATACAAATAAAACACTTTTCATAAAATATAATGAGTATATAATTTTTTTCAATATAATATTAATTATTTTTAATATGCATAAAACACTTAAAAGGTCTTACAATTTGATAGTAAGTTAGTAAACTCACTCAACCCCACATTTAAATTTCAACAAACTACCATAACAAAGTACAATTTCACTTCATTAAAATCCATAAACTAACTTCACCATAATTTAGAAATCTTTAATTTATAAATAAACAAAAATAGACATAGATAAGTATTCCAGCTCTTAAAACATTGCAGCTTTTATCCTCCTTCCCAACTCCTTTCTGCAAAAACACAAACAAAACAAACCCAAAACTATTGTCAACAAAACATCAAATGTATAAAGGTTTCTTGTGTCACAAGCTAATAAAAAGTTGATGAGTTTTTTCTCTCTAATTGTTAAATTTTTTACCTTATGAGTTGCCTATCAAACCCAGAAGCAGCCAAAAGCCCTCTATTCTCCTCAGCCCTTCTCAATAGATATGGCATAACCATCTCAACCGGTCCAAATGGCATATACTTGCTAACCCTAAACCCGGCATTGCTCAAACCAAATGAAAGCGCATCCGACATTCCACATAGTTGCGCGAATTCAAGCTTGTGATTCACTTTTTCAATCCCAATTTCATATGCTTTTGCAGCCGCCAATTTCCCTACACACATTCATTCATATGACATTGATATTTCAAATTAAAGATTAGACATGTATCAGATATACTATATGTCTGGTATCAGATATATAACCAGATAAATAACTGTCTAGTGTTTGACATGCGTCAACGTGAAACACATATTTATATCTAGTATAAGTTAGTACCTGATTCAATATTGTGTGTAGCAAGAACGACAGAACCACGTCCATTACCAACCTTCTCAAGCAAAAAAGCCGAACAATCATTGAAGTTATCATGTGTATCTTGAATAGTCTCATGAATCGGGGAACCATATCCAAACGATTCAGCTATTTTACTTTCCATAGACATATAAGCACCTCTAACCAACTTAAACCCCATTGGAATACCAATTTTATCAGCAGCTTGTGTCGCAAGAAACAATCTCGCTCTAGAATCTTTCAAGTAAGTTTGAATTGTTCCAAACACAATAGGATTATCATCTTTGTTATGAACAATCGCAGAAGAATACGTGAAGTAATCGATAGCCGGTTGAACAGTAGTGTGTTCGGCATCAACTAATAACGGCTTGTTTGATTCGACACATTTATGACAAAGTTGTTGTAATCTTTGGTTTGCAAGTTGAAGATCATGTTCTTCTTGTTGTGTCAATGGTTCTGGTTTGTTTGGAGTGTGGTATAATGGACTTGATTCGGAGAAAATTGGTAGAGAATCTTGTTTCCATGGTAGAACAAATGAAGGGTCTTTTTGTTGCCATCTTAGAAGATCACTCATTCTTTCTAGTAATGCCATTGGACATATTGCAGTGATTTTCACAATTACAAAACTCACCTATCACACCAAATAAAAATAAAATAAATATAAAAAGTATTTATTTAGTTAAGTGGGACCAACATTATATGTAAAATTATAATATAAGACAAAATATGATCACTTTGACACATAGTTCCAATTTAAAAATGATAAAAATTGTAATTGGCATGTAAAGTTTTTGTATGATATGTCTTACTTGGTGATACAGATTCATGCAAAGTGACACTTGTTGCCAACTCATCTATTTTTTGTTTAGAAGAATAAAAAATCTCATTATTATAAATATTTATTACATTACTAATTTTAATAATAAGTCTCTTTATATATTCAAAATCTAAATATGTTACTATCTCTTAATTTACGCAAAAAGAGAATTTTGACCAAAACTAAATTATTCCATTTATCTGTTAACAAAAAACAGAATGAAACGCTTTTTACACGCTATATTATTAGACCAAACTAATTTGACCAAAACTTTTTTCTTTAATTAAAAAAGTTAAATACTTTAATTATACTAATCAATCTTAAACAAATGATTTAAGATGATTATGAAAATTAAACCAAAAAACAAGAATTTTGAGACAAAATTAGAAACTTACAGATGAAGGAGGAAGCGATTTGCTAACATCAACGGTATGAAGAAAGGCATTAAGATTACGATCACAACCATCGTTATCGTGCGCATCTTCAACACCATAGACAAGCATGCCACGTAAGCCAGCATCATTAACCGACCGTATACTCCGTCCAGCAGCAGCAGCATCCTCCCCCGCACAAAAATGTTCGAAGAATGTTTTCTTCGTAACTGCCATAACCGCATCTTTCATAATTCCTTTCTGTAACAACCTCGATTGTAAAGCCCATATGCCAACGTCCACCATCGGTCCTACCGCCGTCGCATGCAGAACGGCTGAGGATCGAATTAGCGTGGACGTTGGTACAGTCGAGAAGAGTTTCTCAGCATTGTTTAAGTCGAGAGAGAAAAATGATTGCGATGGTGGTTGTGGTGTTGTTGTCGCCGGTTGTGGTTGTTTCTCGAGAAGCGTGGCGGCGACGGCGGCCGTCGCGGGACGAGGGGAGTTTAGTGGCTTGGTGGTTTTTTGGAAACGGAGATTCTTGACGATTTTTTGTGGGAGCACGCGTGTTGCCATTCAAAATTTTGAGATGTTTTTGATTTTCTTGATGGTGTTGTGTTTTAACAACACTTTTCTTTCGCACGTGAATTTTTTTATTTTTTTGTTGATTTTGTTGTTTGTTACGATGTTGTAGGGTGTGGTGGTTTTATATAGGTGTGGAAAAGTAAATAAGGTTTGGTTTTGGAAAAGTACAACACTACAATGTTTAAGTTGGGTAACTGCATTGGTGTTTGTGTGATAAGATTAGAGTCTAATGACGTGGCCTAATTTTTATCTTTAGCTAGTTTTTATCTTTAGCAAGTTTTTATTTTAAATTTTGATCTCTTTTATTTCGGTATGATTATTATTATTATTTCTTATAATAATAATAATAATAATATCTTTTTTATGTAATTTCTTTGATTGTATTGACTTTTCAGTTAAACAATTTATAATAAAATAATTCACAATTTTATTTTGAATTTCATATTATAGGTCGGACCCAACTTTTGAGATGATAGTTGTTATTGTTGTCATGTTCTATTGAGCTTTTTTAAATCGAATTTTATAAATGTGATCAATTATTTTTAAGGCTCAAATCCCTTAATATGTGGACTAATTTATTGTTGATTGAGACGTACATAATTTTATTTTATTTTGAAACAAAGGTGTGCATAAATTTGATACCAATCATCTCTCAAAAAATCAATACTTGTTCTGATATTTTAGTCGAAAATATATATTACATTATAATAGATTGATAGGTATGCATTAATAATATATCATTCCTTTCCATATTATATTCAATCAAATCACGTGAAAAAGCTGATTAATTTTTTATTATCTACATAAATATATATATATATATATATATATATATATATATATATAATAAAATATAATATATAAAATGTTATTAAACATCATAAAATACGAATTAAACATTGAAAATTATGGATTTAATTATGATCATTATACTATAATTTGCTTTTAGTTATACCAAATATAGTTTCATTTCTACAAAAAAAAATAAACAATAGAAATATAGTTTTTTTTTTCATTTAATCTTTATTGTTTTTTTTATCAAATAATTAATAGTTAATGTTTCATTGCTTAGTTAAAAATAAAAGAGTGAAATGTAACATGTTCGCATTTGCGTCTTCTACCATTGAATGTCATTGGAGTTAGTTCAGACCACTCCATGTCGGATTGCACCTAAAGTTAAGTTTATTATCTAACTTTTATCTAACTCCTACATTGTTGAGTTTTTCTCATGCAATTGCCGAAATAAATTATTGCATAATTTAATTATAGTCCATTATGATTTTTTTTCTAAAAGAAAAGTTTTAAATTATGGAAAGAAAAAAAATCAAAAGGGAGTGAAGAAGAGAAAACTTAGGCAAAATATTATGAGTAAGAGAGTTAGGTGCTAAATTATAGATGGAGTATGGACAGGAGATTTAAAAGGTAACATGATGTTTGTAAATCCATGTAAAGATGATGTGGAGTATGCGTGTATGAATCATGGTATTAATTTCAAGATAATATTGCTGAGCTGTTTCCATCCTCATCAATTGATAGAGTCAAAATTTATAAATAAATAAATGAGTTGTATGCTTTTAATAGGTTCATACTAGCTATAATGACTGGAATGAATCTAGCAGATTCCTATATTACAATCCCTATGTTTGCGAGATAATATTGTTCATCACCTCATTGAGATTGATAGTTGTGTGGGTCAAAGACTTCTTTTATCTCGAAATGAAAATGCTCAGGACTTATCAAAGTGCTTAAATTTCTATGAACCAGATAATAGTGCATGTAGGGCAGAACTTTCTAATGTTCATGTCATTCAGTCACCAACTTGCACTTGGTGGAATGTCAACGAGTTACATTAACCTGTTGAGAGACATGTTGTATGGGCACAATACTTTTTTATTACAATTACATATGCTCTGATCTTATGATCTGTTGTGTCCGATCATGGCGGAGTTACACAATCGCAAGTGTATGAAAATTTAAGGATCTTCAAACAAGACATCATTCAATTAAAATGCATGAATACAGAAGTCAACGTAAGTCAACGTTCGAACACACCAACTCAACCTTGTAGTAAAATATTTCTTCGGATATATATATATATATATATATATATATATATATATATATATATATATATATATATATATATATATATATATATATATATATATATATATATATATATATATATATATATATATATATATATATAATCATATTACTATTTAATTTAAAAAGCTCATCACTCTAACTTTTCGAGATCCTATTTCTTTTGAAGATGTGGACTTGGTTGCCCTGACTTAAAGCTGACCCTGGTTAGAAATGCTCCATTCCGAGCCAAAGCATTTTCACCGACTACACATTTATGTTTCTAGAATCTTCCCCTTACCTTAGAACTATCTTATACTTTGCTACATGAGATTTACGCCTCATTCACATCCAACGATCCTCCTATTTCACGCTCGAAAGATAGCAAGACCGTCATTCATACCCTCTATATATAAGGAGTGACCCCGAATGAGGTAAAAGTTTTCAAATACAATTATAATACTCTATATTCTTTCATATGATGATTTGAGAGTCAAATGCTAACCTTGTAGGTACACCCCTTATCCGTAGCATCGGAAGCTCTACTCTGTCGTAGCTTATGCATCTCTCTCTATTTTTGGTTCTGGAACAGAACAGTGGCACTATCTATGGAAAACGAATTTCGATTTCTGCATTTTCTACGACTTTTTATCTCTGCATTCATTTGTTCAGTGTGAAGTTTCCTTCTACCTCTGAATGGAGATCTAGCAAATCAAGCACAAAACTTAGTTACCTTAGATTAATTCGAACTCCATGTAGATTACAACACACTAAGTCTTCAGATCTTCGGATTTTCGTATCTATGATATCTTCAATCCTTAGAAATGTCTGGATCTAGAGCCTTATTTTGTCGTCGCTTTAACTGCTGCTAGCAAAGTGTAGACAACTGTCAATCAACGAAATGCGACTCACAATATTCCTGGCGGAACGAATCTCGACATTAAGGGTTCTCTACATCTAGGTTTGTTTTTTCCTCCTCCAGAAACAAGGATTCTCCAAGCACCGCATCTTGGAGTTCCAACTTTTATTCTTGTTTAGCAACATGAGATATTGCACGGTTTCATCATTCTTGACCCATTTAGAAAGTAATCCCATCGACTGAAATAAGACGCTAGGGATGTACGGTTGGCATGAAAAGTACACACCTTTAAATACTTTTCGAGATAAGATTTACGGGGAGTGCGCTAACAATGAGTTTCAGAAAGAAGGAATCTGATCTCCTTTCCAGGTATGAGAGTCTGCCCAGATAGATAAATCAAAATACTGCCACTTTCACATAAGACACGAACATAACATGGACAATTGCATCCAACTCAAGGATTCAATTGAAACACTAGTTAAGAAGGGCCGATTGTTCGAGCATGTCAAGGGCACCAAGCGAGACCGAGAAGAATCTCCAAAAACCAAGTCCCTTACAAAGGTTTCTGAAGTCGGTTCAAGCAATAAATAAAAAAAGAGAAATCAGCAAGGGAAAACTCCTGTATATCACTGCCATTACCGACACTGTGCCACGAGAAAATCTCCATTCCAAATGGACGGTTAAAAGAAACATTGTCGAGATGATGACCGTCTATAGAAACGAAAGTAGTTCATCATCAAAGGTTCTCGACCGGCCTATGTTAGGGTTTCGGGACTTCGAGAAAGTTATGTACATTTCTAATGAGTTGTTTCCCCTAGTAATCACGGCCACCATAGGACATTTAGATAGATGAAGCCTAATATCATACGATAGGTCAGATCTGCAAGCGTTTAACAGGAAGACCATTCATCCCTGGTGATATGCGAAGCTAATGGTATCTGTAAGAGAGGAAAGAGACCTCCGATTGATCAACACTCAATTTCTGGTCATCCTGTGCAAGAGCCTCTACAACTGTATTTTTAACAGGCCATTCATAGAAAGTTTGGACATCAGAGCCTCTCCCATGCACTTGAATCTCAAATACCACAACCTTGATAGGGAACCACTGTTTTCTATGCCAACCTCGAAGGGGCTAAAAAGATACATCCTGCATTCCATAGAGACCAAGGAAAGGGCATAACTATGGAAATTAACGTGGCCTTCCTTATTTATAGACTTCAAAGCATAAATCTCTGAATGCCAAGATGTGGCTAAGAAAAGGGGAGGCTAGCAATGGAAATAAGAGTAATAAAACTTGCTCGATTATACTTTATTGTTCATATGTCCATGTTTAGTGTCCATGTGCGTATGCATGTGCATGTGCGTGTGTGCGTGTGTGTGTATGTGCGCATGTGTGTGAGTACGTGTGCGTGTACATGTGCTGCGTGTACGTGTGTGTGTGCGTGTGCGTGTGTGCGCGTGTGTGCGTGTATGTGTGTGCGCGTGTGCATATGCGTGTAAGTGTATGTATGTGTGTGTGTATGTGCGTGTGTATGTATGTGTGTGTGTTCAAAGAATAGTCTATGATGTGGAACGATCCTCTATGATGTGGAGTGAAGTTCAAAGCATAGTCTTAAATAGCCGATCTAATGACATATTATTATAAGTGTAACTTAAAGCACAACCGCATCTAGTTGGTCTCACGCCATACGATCATAAATTTGATCTAACACATGACTATTAAGTCAGAACAACATCTTACCACCAAACCACATACATCTTAACACAACATGCTTGTAAATAAATCAACCCAACATGGCCTCACGAGGTAAGCTTTATGAATTATAGGGGTAATAAAATCCCGACATTCCTCTGGCTTGCAAACAACATGAAGGAGATGGCTAAAAGTAATATAACATTTACGGCAAAATAAGATAAACACACTTATACAAGTAATAAGACGAACATAGCTAAAATAACAAAGAGAAAGTAATATGCAAATACTTTCCCATATCTTATTGCTTTTCACGTATATCACAAAAAATTGGGGGGGGGGGGTGGAATACTA